CATCATTCATTCAACAAAATTTGTCTGAACAGTTCTGATATATCAGACAGTTAGTTAAGTGTTGGTGTTAAAATGACAAGCAGGACAAACAAGGACACAAAGGAGGATGACGTGGAGCTTACATGTGCCGCGCCCCCCCTCCCCCCGCCCCGCCCCCCCTGCGCCCCGGGGCCGGGCTGCCTCGGAGGCCCTAGTGGCCGCTGCCGCCGGAGCTTACATTCTGATGAAAAAGACAACACAAATAAGTCAACAATCAAAATAAATGCAAGTGCCACAACTGCCATACAAGACACAAACCTGGCAGTCAGAGGGAATAAAAGGAGTAAGGCTGACCTAGTTTTAAAGGCACCAGGGAAAGTTTCTCTTCAGTTAACGCTGACAGCTCAAGGGTAAGTTACATAAACAATGGACGGGTGCCAAGAACGGGCAGCATGTACAAAAGGCCTAACGGTGGGCTGTAAAACACTGGGTGAGCTGGATGCAGGCACTGAAGTATTACCAGTGTGGTTGGAACAATTTTGGAGGAAAAAAGATAAGAGAACAGATAATAAGCTGGTTTGTGACCCAAGGTCAAGAAAGTAAAATCCAAGGTACAGTGTGAAACTAGTAAAGAATCTTATGCAGGGCACTGACATATCAATTATGGTCATTAATATTTATCTTTAGGAAACATTTCAAATATTTTTTTTAAAAAGGGGATTAACACTCATAGTTAGCACCCAGCATTACCAATGTAAACAGTGGTACAGGATTATGGTTTGTTTGTAATTAAAACTAACCATACAATGTTACATTCCAAATCAATCCTCTTCATCTCTCCTGCCACCTCCACTATAAACCCTTGCCACTCCCTTAAACTTACACTCCTGTAATTATCTCAGAATTGTTCTTCCCAATCGACTTTTGCCCCCTAAAAGCTATTATCCACATAGAAGCCAGGATAATCTTTACGAGTCAGCTGACATAATTTGTCTACTTAAAATCCTCTAATGACTTCTTTGGGAGAATGATGTGGCAATCTGCTTCTGTAAAGATTATAGCCTTCGAATCCCTAAGGGGCACTGTTCTATCCCATAGGGTCAGTGAGAATTGATTTGATGGCAATGGGCTCAATTTTTTTCTTCTTCTCTCCTTTTCTGTCATACAATATTCGTCTTTTAAGTTACGGGCTTACTTTACTCCGCATAATGTTGTCCACCTTCATCCTCATTGTAGCATGCATTGAGACTTCTTTTCTCTTACTGATTGACTAGAGTCTTTGGGGATATACCTAGGAATGGAATTGCTGGGTTACTGGTAGTTCTGTTTTAGTTTTTTGAGGAACCATCAGTTTGCCATTTTTCTACTATAGCATTTCTCATTATGGCTATAGTATTTCGCATTATCATCAACAATGGATAAAACTTCCCTACATCCTCACCAAGTTTTTGTTTTTTTTTTAATCTTAGCCATACCAGTAGGAATAAAATGATCTCAATTGGGGTTTTGATTTACATTTCTCTGATGTGTCTGGTGGCTATATGAATATGCTTCTTAGGTAAAATGACCACTCAAGTCCATTACCTACTGTATGATGGGGTAGTCTTTTTTGTTGTCAAAGTTATATACACATTTTTTGTTACTAGATCCTTGTTGAACTTATGGTTTCTGAAGATATTTTATCGAGTCTGGTCATTATTTTTGGTAAAGTCTTTTAGTGAACAAATTTTAAAAAATGTATGAGTTAATTTACTTGCTTTTTCCTGCTTGTACCTTTGTTATTAGATAATCCATTGCTGAAAGCTAGCTCTGACAACAGCGTTGCTCTTGCTTGTTCTCTTATTAAAAAAAAAAAAAGTCTTATGGTTTCAGTTTTCACATTTAGGTCCTAATCCATTTTGAATTTGCTTTTGTGAATAGTGGGTGAACCATGGATGCCATTTCACTTTTCTGCATGTGGAAATCAATGTCTCCAGCACCATCTATTGAAAAGACTTCTATCCCCATCAAATGGACTCAACACTTTTGTCAAAAATCAGAGAGCTTCAAAAGGGTTGTGGAAAACTTCCATTATCTTTCAATTCCATTTTTTCCACGAATTTTTTGAAGCCTGTTTGTATGTGTTGTTATTTCTGGATTCTGAATTGAATTCCACTGGTCTATGCAGGTGTGCATGTACCTGTGTGTGTGTTTAGTGGCTTCATATTGCACTTTAAATCTGATTCCAACTTTTCATTCTGGTTTACGAAGCCCTCCAGGAGGCTTCAAAAAGCACACAGAAATGTGGAATTAAGATAATCATTTTTCATCTGATGAAGTGTCTGTCTGCCCTCTCTCCTCCTAACAAATCCCTCACTGCCAGTTTCCTCCTCCTCTTTAGATTTGCCGCTCACCCTTGCCTACGAGTTTCCGCACAGCCGTAATGAGTCTTTCACTGGTTTTTGAGAACCTACTGCCCTTTTCATTCATGTATCAAATTTAAAACTCCTTCTCACTCAGAAAGGAATTTCTTGGTCTCATTCAAGAGCATCTTCCAGTTTTAATTATGTGCACAGCACTCGTCACTATCTCACATTGCTGTTCTTTTATTTCTTCCCCTCAGAATGAAAGCTCCTTAAAACAAGGGAGCTCATATAATCCTCCTCATTCTTGACCCCTGAAACCGCCAATGGTTGACATATCATAGGTCCTCAATTTATGTACTTGCTGTAAGAATGAACTAATATAACAGAGAAGTTAGATGAGGATATGCAACTAAAGAAGAGGTTTGTCTATGGCAAGAAAGCCAGTCAGTATATGGGGCTGAAATGCAAATATCCTGTCTGATGTCTTTCCCAACAAAACCATAGGTCTCTGTGACTGTTAGCAAAATTCATAAAAACAATGGCACGAAAACAATGTGGAGGATGCTCAGAAACTTAAACTCAGAATTACCACATGACCCAGCAATTCCACTCCTTGGTTATTTGCCCCAAAGAGGGAGAAACAGGGATTTGGGTACTTGTACACCAATGTTCCTAGCAGCACTGTTCAAAATAAGCAAAAGGTGGAAACAATTTCAGTGCTCATCAACAGATAAACACGTAAGCAAAATGCTTGGCTGCTAATCAAAGGTTGGTGGTTTGAACTCATCCGGAAGGGACACAGAAGAAAGGGCTGGTTGGCGACTGACTTCTGAAAGATGGCAGCCATCGTAAACCCTGTGGAGCCCATAGCTCCGCTGAAAACACAGGGGTTTCCATTAGTTGGTTGGAATCTTCTTGATGGCAATGGGTTATAATCATACAATGAACTATGATTCAGCTACAAGAAGAAATGAAAATCTGATACATGCTATGACATGGACTGCACCTGGAAAACGTTACACTAAGTAGTAAACGGCAAGACTTAAAGAGGCAATTATTGTATGGTGCCGCTGTTACTCGCTGTCAATGCCAACTCCCGAAGACCTCACTTGTGCAGAGCGGAGCTGTTCCACAGGGATTTTAAGGCTGCCACCTTTTGGAGGCTGACCACCAGGTTGGTCTCCTGAGGTGCTTCTGGGTGGCAATAAACCGTCCTCGATGCCTAGCACTCAACTGTTTGAGCCACTCAGAGACTCCTATTTTATGATACTATTTATAGGAAATACCTAAAAAAGGCAAGTGCATAAAGACAAAAGTTTCTTACTGGTTACCAGGGGTTTGGGAAAAGGGGGAATAGGAAGTTTATCGCTTACTTGGTAGTTTTTTGCTTGGGGTTATGGCAAATGTTTTGTGAGGCTGTACAACATGGTGAATGTAATTAATGCCATTGAATCATACACTTAAAAATGGCTAAGATGGCAGATTATTGCTATATACATATATTCACAATTGTAAAATATCAGTAGGCAGTAGAAAAAAATGTTAAGCATGTCCTTCTCCAAATTTAAGTTGTGATTCTTCCCTATGTAACCCATGAGACAGTGGTTTTCATATACAAAGTGTGTAGTGTGTGTATGTATCTATATATCTAAAATGGAATCCAACATGTAAAATCCTTGAGAATATGTTTTTTTATATTCCTATTGTGCTGCGTGAAAAACTTAATACTAAAAAATGTGCAAACTGAGTCCGGCACTGTTGGTGTAAGTTATAATGGAACTTGGGCCACATCCTCTCTTAAACTACTTCCGAATCTTGGACTTACATCACTGCATGAATCACATATTTTGTGTTTAGAGAAGTGTGTCTTCTCTCAGGCTAAAAGCTCCCTGAACTTAGGGATAATGTTTCATTCATGCTTAGCACAAAGCTTATCCTTTCGTTTAATAAATACCTGGACACTTACCACACATCAGGTCGTGTTCTAAGCACTGACCACCACCAAGCAGCTCACTTTCTAATGTTTGTATAAAAAGTGTCTTTTATTTTAAGTGACATATCATCGGTTTAGGGTTTCATCTTTGGATACATTCAGAATTTTAAATACGAATGCCTTACATCTTTTGCTTCTAATTGTGACTAACTTTATTTCCAATGCAGCTCCCTGAACACTGTCCCAAGCCCTCTTAAACTCTCCCCCACTAGAAAGACTCCTCTGATCAACTCCACTGTGATCCCTTCAGGGTATAGTACTATCTGTACTACATTAACTTAAATTTATTAGTCGTTTCAAGTAATAGGTGATTTTGTCTCCAGTTATGGGGAAACCTGTTAAGAACAAACACCATGCTTTGTTTTTCTTCTTTCCTCCTCAGAAATATATTTCTCACAAAATTAATTTCCAAAGATTTCTTCTTGTGGTAAACACCAATCTGTTTGTATACACATGCAGCTATAAAACGGATGATCATCTTTTAAAAGAAAATTGCTGGAGTTTACTTAAACCTTCTGTGTCTTCATTTCTAAGAAAGTCTGAGAAAGCAACATGTATTAGGAATTCAGGACCTAAGATTTAGTTCATAAAACACCCTTTTTTCAAGCAGTCTGTTTTTGAAATTGTTCCTACCCGCATAGAAAGACGAGAACATGGCACTCAGTCTTTCCGTGGGTACTTACCCTGTGGGCAGACACTCTTCTAGTCTCTTGTACTGGTAGCCAGAGTTCGGGTTGACTTGGCCCCCTGGGGTGCAGGCTGTAGCCTGGATAGTTAGCTGGTGGCAGGCACATTTGGACCTGAATAGGAGAGGGGGAGACAATAAGCGAGGACTGTCAAACGTGTAGAGATAAACAGTACTAATACAAGGAGCAAGAAGGGGTAGTGAAATTTTAATATTTTTCTCAAGTAAATGAGAAAGGAAGAATAATGGTATAAGACTCAGAAAAAAGAGAAAAAATGAAATGAAGTGACCATTAAGAACATGATTCAAGTTAGCAAAAAAATTTTTAAAGAGGGAATGAACCAGAGAAAGACACAAAGAAGCATTGGGCCAGGGTTACCCAGAAGGGGCACGGAGACCCCACCTCTGTACACCAGTGACCTCACAGAGGCCTGACAGCAGGGGCTCTCGCTGAAAATGGGATTCAAAGGAGATGGGAGAAGAGGGAAGCCGTTCAGATATGAGATAAAGGAAGAGGCGGAGAGTAAGGCAACCAGGAGGAATCTGCTGGCAGGGCAAGCTATTCCCCCACCAACTCACTTGTCCCGGCACCCATCCTTGCAGTCACAGCCAACCAGAAATTCAGGGCCTGTGTTGATGAAAACACCCTTGCCTGGGATCCGTTCCTTGCTGTAGGCCACTTGGGGTGGGGGGGTTGTGTCAATCTCATTGACACAAGATAGGGGAACATCTTCCTTCCCATAGGTGATGTCCAAAATATAGTAAAAAGGCTTATAAGGCTGAAACTTCCGGTCCACAAGAACATAGGGATCCAAACAGAACATCTCCAGGAAAAGGAAGTCACAGCCAGTTTCAAAAAGGTAGCGTTCGATCTCTTGCATTGTCCGAAGGCAGAGGCCACAGGGTGTCTTATAGATAACATGGAAGCCCATCTTGCGGTTCACTCGGCGCCGGGCTGTCATCCGCCGGAAGTCATAGAGTAGCGGGACCAGGAGCGGGTTCTTGCCTCGGTACTGCTCACTCCTCATAGGTCTGACCCGAGACAGACAAGTGTAGCTGCAGACATGAGGTAAGTAGAAAAGCTTCTCCATGGGGGCACGGTAGGAGGGCTCTGCCGGGGCCCTCTCCAGCATGCCAAGGAAGGCTGGAGGGGCTGGGGGTGTTACGGGGGCTGGGGATGTGGGGGCAGCTGTTGTTGAGCCTAAAGGTGATCTGCAAATGAGATGCAAGAAAACAGATAAGGCCACAGGACCTCTCCACTGTATCTGTAAACTAAGTCATCTTTCTCATCTTTCAAATAGCTATGGCCTTAAAGCAAAAGATGACAAGAAAACCAAGTCACCCTTTCCACGACTACTCTTTCCCAGCATATCTCGAGTTCAACAGTGCTCTCTTTCCCTGAAATGTACTTGTCTGTGAATTATGAATGAAGACTCCAGTCTTCTACCTTTTCCCCCTGCTCTCCGGTGTTTCCTTTCCATGGTACCAATGATGGCACCATGGTTAGTGAGATGTTTCACAAAAGACTTTCAGGTGATTCTGTATGTCTAGGCACCCGGTTTCTCATTCACTGAAAGCGTCCTTCCCTTGTCCAAACTCCTTTTTAACTAAGGCTTAGACTAACTCACCCCCTAAAAGCCAAGGGCATTCCCTATGTAGTGGTCATTCAGCCTATAGTGCCAACCCACCCACAGAGAACCTAAGATTTTCTCACCTGTAGGTCTGATTGATCCCAGGTTTCCCAGGAGCACTTTCACTGAGAGCAGGGGACGTAGGGGAGGAGTGACCAGAGCCCACAGATCCTGGCCGGAAGGATGTGCTTTTTTTAGCTACCTGCTTTCTTGACTGGGCAAGCTGGCTCTCTAAACTTCTAAGACAGAGGAGAAGAGGTCACATAGTAAAGGATGCAGAAGACAAATCACCAAAGACATTTAAAAAAGGAAGGGAATGAGCACACTCACTCAAGGTCAGCTGCCTGTGGGGAAGGAGGCGGGGCAGGCTGGACAGGTGGGGCAGGCAGAGCCATGGGCTGTTGGGGTTCCACTGGCTTGAACTGCGTCCCAGTACTAGTCAGATCCTGGGTGTACTGGACCACGGGGCCTTTACTCCTAACAGCACCTTGAGAAAAAGAAATTGGTCTAATGAGAAAATAATCACAAGGTAACAGATTCATCCACACACCTGCTTCTCAATTTACTCAATATAAGAAAGCAGTAATGTGAACATGAGTAAACACTAAGATTTCCAGTTGTCATGGTTTATACCAATGAGTGACAGTACTGGCATATATAATTTCCAACACTTATACTGGGTTAGATATTAAATAATGATACTTTGTCTTTCTGCCTCAGAAGATATATCTCCGTAACTACGTTAGATGTAGGTTAACAGTTTTAAAAATGCATTCTTTGATCAACTAGTGTTGGTAAGAAAACACTGATGTATGCTGCCAGGAACAGAAAACATCGACAGTATAAAACCAGAGAATCCACAGGTGGGTAACAGAGGTAACCCATGACCTAAGCCAGCTGTGCCAGGCTTTTATGTGTTGTTTAGAATCAAAGCCATAGCATGTGGAGGCAGCGCCACAAATCCGTCACCACTACTGGAAACAACTCAGAGCACAAGTCCTGGGTCCAATGACTCAGTAGTGTCAGCCTGGTAAACAAAGAACAGTCACTGTATAGAAGTATACTTGCGGGTTGAGCTCCAATTTTTCCCCAGGTTGCCTGTCAGACATACCCATGTTCGGACGTGTTCTGAGTTGTCCGCCTTGCTTCTTCTCCAATGTAGAGGCCGAAGATGTCTTCATGCTGAACATAGGTTCCAGCCGTGTAGAGCCCCGATAGATCCATTCACATCTTTTGTCATCCTGGAGGGTGTGAAGAAAGGGGCGAAGTGTAGTTGAAAGGCTTGACTCCATTCTGCCTCTATGGAGAATAGCTATCCATATGACTCCTCTGGGAAATCTCCCTGATGAGCCCTTAACTTCTATCTGGTCAACAACTTGTGTGCCATGTACTACTGCAGGGACTAGAAATATAATGAAGAAAAAAAGATAGATTAATTGTTTAAGCAAATGTAGAAGAGATAAACCCCTCAGGGACAGACATGGGAGTAGGGGGGGGTAGGGTGAAGGTGGGGAAAGCAGGGGAGCAAGGGGGAACAGATTCCAATGATTGACACATACTCTTCCCCACCCCTTAGGGGGAGGAACAACAGAAACCGTGGAGGGAGACAGCGGTTTGTGTAAGATATGAAAATAATAATTTATAATTTTATCAAGGGGTCACGAGGGTTGGAGGGGGAGAGGGAGGGGAAAAAAGGAGTTGATACTAAGGGCTCAAATAGAAAATAAATGTTTAGAAAATAATAATGACAACATATGTATAAATATGCTTGATACAATTGATGTATGGATTGTTGTAAGGCTTTAAGAGCCCCAGTAAAGTGACCTCAAAAAGAAAAGAAATTGTAGAAGAGAGAGATGTCAGAACTAAAAAGTGTGACAAGGATCACAAAGGCCTTAGGAACAAAGGGCTGAGGCAGCACATAGAGAAAAAATTAACTGCAGCAAGAAGGTGAGAGAGGGGAATTCAGGACAGATAAACCCCTCAGGACCAATAATGAGAGTAGACATACCAGGAGGGTAAGGGGAAGGTGGGGGAGAAAGGGGTAACCGATCACAATGATCTACATATAAACCCTTCCCTGGGGGATGGACAACAGAAAAGTGAGTGAAGGGGGACATCAGACATCAGACAGTGTTAAGACATGGAAAAATAATAATTTATAAATTATCAAGGGTTCGGGAGGGAGGGGAAAAAAGGAGGAGCTGATACCAACATTGATACCAAACAAATGTTTTGAGAATGATGATGGCAACAAATGTACAAATGTGCTTGACACACTGGATGGATGTATGGATTATGCTAACAGTTGTCCGAGCCCCCAATAAAATGATTTATAAAAAAAAAAAAGGTGAGAGAGAAGATAATGGAGGGTATACCAGATCTAGGAGCTAAACTTGGAAAATCATCAAGCCCTCTAGTCCTCTAAATGAGTTTCTTTGTCACACTATCCCCTTGCTTCATTTTGTCATCAAATCCCCAGCTATGGACAACGTGAAGCATCTACTTTTACTGCACCTGTCCTCAGTATGATTATTCCTAGAGAAAAATGAAAAGCCAAAGAATGCAGGAAGTATCAATTAAATTAATTTTCAATAGCCACCCACAGAGGAAGAGAAAGACAAAGTGGGGCTACAAACAGTACAGAAGGACAAGAAGGTGGCAAAGTAAGGCATCTCTGCAAAAATCATCCTCAGTATTGTCTCCTATACCCCTTACCCCTGCCTCCAAAACTCTAGAGAGAAACGGTACCAGGAAGAGGATCCTGACGAGGCTGCCATCCACCTCCTCGACCCGGGACTTCCACCAGGTGCCTTCCCATTCAGTCTTGATAAGCTGGCCACTTTTGAGAAGCACCATGGGGCGGTTGGGGTAGGCAGTGATATATTCCTCTATGAAGTCTCGGCAGGAGATGTCTTCTATGTCCTCCCACGTCTTTTTCACTGTCCCAAGAGAGAAAAAGGGCTAAGAGAAGGCAGGCAGGGGATATCTTGATAAAGAACTACAAACGGCAAAAGGATATTTGATATTTTTCTGGTTGGCAGGGAGAGAGGACAAAAAAGAGAGAAATCGTAACTCCACAGAAAATAAAAATAAGGCTATCTTAAGTATTAAACCTAATATATCCATGCACAAACTGATATGTTAGCATCTTCAATCATTTCATATAATTGGATGTTTCTTCTTAGAAATATCCATGCGACAATTCCTACAACTTGATATAAGAAGTAATCTAAAGAGACCAGATGTTATCTTTTGATAGGAAAAGAAAATCCTTCCTTTTCATTCTCTAGTAGGTTTTGAAGGGACACGATATGTGGAAACACAGAGGTCTTAGCTGACCTTTCAGCAACGAGAAACACTTGATTTTGTGGAAGTCTGTGCCTAAGTCAGAGCAATAAGTACAGAGATGCCCATGAAGTCTCTTTCCACAGAAAACTATGCAGTCTGCAGATTTACATGAACTTAGGTGAAACATGAAGACTAAACAGAAGTACCTCTCCAAACTTCAGTTATTTAGCTGCAGTAAAGAGCAGTTCACTCAAGGTCAGTTAGGACCATCTAAAGCTATAAAGACCTAGCACCAGAGATAAAATGGATAAAACGGAATCACCCGAAGGACTTTTAACCAAGCTTGTGTTACTCTCTTGAAACTGGGGGAATTTGTGTACCCCAAATAACTAAAAATCAAGAGCTGTTCAATTGGGTTTCTCAAGAAAAAATACAAGGTCAGAGAGGTAAGGAACAGAACAAAGGAAGGAGAATATACTCACAAGGCCGGCAGATTGGGTACAGCTCAGACTGTGTGACGTAAGATGCATAGCCATCATCAAAAAATATGAGAAACCTGTAAAGGAAGAGCAATGTAAACAGTCTGGAGACATGAACACAGGCACACTAAGCATGAATGACAGCGATCATTTTGTTAGGGCTTCCTCTCCTGAGTCAGCATAGCAAACACTCTGCGGATGCTGTTCCACACCACTGCCTTCTTCCGACTACTGCATTTTACACACCAAAATTGCACGTGATGAATGTTTTTGCTAATTGTGCAACCCCCTAGTACAGTGGTTCTCAACCTTCCTATGCCACGACCCTTTCATACAGCTCCTCATGTTGTGGTGACTCCCCCAACCATAAAATTATTTTTGTTGCTACTTCATAACTGTAATTTTGCTACTATTATGAATCAGGTGACCCCTGTGAAAGGGTCATTCAACCCCAAAGGGGTTGCGACCCACGGGTTGAGAACCACTGCCTTAGCATGTTAGTTCTCTACATATACTAAGCATGTTATATAATTTTAAAAGTTTGTGAAAAAATTCCATTATCCTTTCATTACATTTTCCCATAAACTTTTGGAAGCCCTCTCTTCTGTGTAAGTGCATTGTTTATGTAGGGGCTTTATCTGCAAAAATATGGTATTCTTTCTTTCTACCCTAAGAGTTAGGAATTCTCCCTTAATCTACCCAACATATCCATTTGTTCAAAACCATTTATTCTCGTTCCTATGTTGCTGAAAACTACTTAGTCTGCACTTTTTTTTTTAAATAGTCTGCACTTTTATCTCTTTCTCCTACATAAATTCCCATTTCCTGAATTATTAATCAATCTCAAGTTTTTACCTTAAAAAGGAAAGGAAGGAAGGAAGGAAGGAAGGAAGGAAGGAAGGAAGGAAGGAAGGAAGGAAGGAAAAGAATCACGCACTGTGACTTCTACTGTGAAAAACCTAAGTGGGTTTCTGGCTCCGGGAGACTAAGAATACAAAGGCTAACTATGAAATCTGGAGTATGGCTTGATGGACCAGTGCTGAGCTCTCCTCCATTCCTTTTACAATCCGCTGGTGCAGGTACCTTTACCTGAGCTTGTTTTTGACATTCGGTGTCTCAGCTACAATGCCAGCATAGAGCCAGACCTGGTTCCCATCTTTGTATTTGGCCACAACTCTACTGCCCACATATAGCTTGTCAGCTGGAGGATGGTAATCATAGGCAATATGGTTCCCCGACAGCAGACTCTTCCCTTTGTTGTCAAATTTAACCTTGTACTTCTTCCCTGGCCCTGAGTAAACGAGAAAGTGGATCATTTAAAAGCAAATAAGACAGTGTATGGCATAACCCTGGCTGACCCAGAGGGCAAGGCTGTGGGGAAAAGAAGCAACTGGCAGCGGAGACCTCCTGCAGGGCTGCTTTTCATGGGTCTTCCTCTCATCTGAACATACCAACTGTTTGGATGGCAATAAGGGTGCCTTTGTGCCACGTCTTAGTTCTCTTCTTGCCCAGAATCCGCATGCTGACTATCAGGTCACCATCTTTGCTCAGTTCCCCAGACATCTGACTCAAGGTTCCTATGGAAGAAAGCAGAGTTGTACTAACACATGTCACACACTGGGTAGAGAATGAAAGGAAAGAGAAGGTAGCAGGGCATTCAAGGGAAGTGGAGAAACGGTTGCTCTGTAGCCATTTTTGCTGCTTGCTTGGCCAAACACAAAACCACAAGAGATAAGGCGCTCAGTCGTTTATGCTAACAGGAGAAACCTGAATACTGGAGGTTCACAAGCACCTCAATACTCTTACATTCCCCAAATGTAAATCCATGGTTCTCAACCTTCCTAATGCCGTGACCCTTTAACACAGTTCCTCATGTTGTGGTGACCCCCCAACCATAAAATTATTTTCGTTGTTACTTCATAACTGTCATTTTGCTACTGTTAGGAATCAGGCGACCCCTGTGAAAGGGTTGTTCGACCCTCAAAGGGGTCGTGACCCACAGTTTGAGAACCACTGGACTAGAGGGAGAGGGCTAAAAAGGTACTAAGGAGCCCTGGCAACAGAGTGATGAAGCGGCCAGCCGCTAACTAAAAGGTTAGTCATTCAAATATGATCAGCTGCTCCATGGGAGAAAAATGTGGCAGTCTGTTTTCATAAAGACCTTGGAAACGCCCTGGGGCAGTTCTTCTCTGCCCTATAGGGTGATGAGTTGGAAATGAATTGATAGCAACAGGTTTCAAAAGGCATTTGGGTACAATCATCACAAACTGGGAAGTCAGTATCAGTGTAATTGGGGTTTGGTGACTACCAAAGTGTATCTTTAAAAATTTGGCAGGAAATAAAAAAAAGAATTGGCAGGATTAAGCAGACAATAAAAACAAAAGCACCATTTATTTACTATTGACTATGGATATAGAGGTGTTAATAATAGAACAGTTGCACAGTCAGTTATCTACAAGCTCTATGTAGGAATTACCTGCCCACCCGCACCCACAGACACATCCTGACTCTGACCTTTATGTAGATCTTGGGAACTGCTCTTCTTGTTGACAGCATCCATGAACTTCTGGACATCTTGAGCTGACTTTCTTAAGGCAGCCATAGCTTCACGGAGCTAAGGGAAAAGAAATGAGAGAGAAATGCTCCAAAATAGCACACAGGTTAGAAATAACTTGAGAATTACAAATATCTTGTATGAGGGGTTTCAAACAGTTTGTGGAAGAATTCCATTATCACTGAACTGAATATTTCTTTGAACTTTTTGAAGTCCACATTTAAAAAAATCAAAATGCAGTGAGTCATGTTTGGTCTTACATTTACCTTATCCAGTTGCTATTACAGACTTGACTCAGAAATCAGCTTTGGGAATTACACTTGGGTACTCAGTGCTCAATGCCACATTCATTCAGGACTCAGTCCTAGTGCACAGGATGCAGGGAGGGTTAGCAGCTGGGTGCTAACAACATGGTATGCAGTACAAACCCACCAGTTGCTCTGTGGGAGAAAGAGCCTGTCTACTTCTGTCAAGATTGATACTCTTGGAAACCCTATATAGGGTCGTTATGAATCAGACTTAGCACAGGTGGGTTTGGTTAGTTAGTACACAAGAAGCCTTGGTGGTACAGTGGGTAAAGGCCTGGCTAACGGGCAGGTAGGTGGTTTGAACCTACCAGTTGCTCTGCAGGAGAAAGATGAGGCAGTGTGAGTCCCTGAGGATTCTAGTCTAGATCCTCTCTGAGGGGAGTTCTACTCTGTCCTCTAAGATTAGTATGTTGTTGCTGTAGGTGCCATCAAGGTGGTTCTGACTCACAGGGACCCTATGCACAACAGAAAAAAGTGTGTCTGTTCTGTGCCATCCTCACAGTTATTGTGATGTTGCAGCCCACTGCTGCAACCGCACTGTCAATTCATCTTGCTGAGGGTCTTCCTCTTTTTTCTTGCCCCTCCAAGCTGATGTCCTTTTCTAGGGACTAATCTATTCTAGCAATATGTCCAAAGTAGATGAGACGAAATCTTGCCACTCTCAATTTCAAGGAGCATTTTGACTGTACTTCTTCCAAGACAAATTTGTTTATTCCCCTGACAGTCCTTGGCACTTTATTCATCACCAGCACCATAACCCAACTGCATGGATTCTTCTTTGGTCTTCTTTATTCAATGTCCAACTTTCACATATATATGAGGTCAATTTTCATACTACGGTTTGATCAGGCACCCCTAAGTTCTCAACTGAAATCCTTATAATTCAACACTTTAAAGAGGGTATGTGTAGCGGATTTGTCCAACATGGTTGATTTCTTAACTGTTGCTTCTTGAGCACTGACTGTGCATCCAAAGATGAAATCTTTGACAACTTCGATCTTTTCTCCGGTTTACCATGATCCTATCTCTCGGTCCAGTTCTGATGATTTTTATTTGTAAGCCAGACTGAAGGCTGCAGTCTTTGATATTCATTAGCAAGTGCTTCAAGGCCCCATTTCTCTCAGCAAGAAAAGCTGTATCATCTGAATATTACAGGTTGTTAATAAGCCTTTCTCCAATCCTGATGTCGACCTCTTCATATCATCTAGCTTCCCAGATTATACATGCTGAATAATAAGGGTGAAAGATGCACACCTTTCCTGATTTTTATTTCTTTATTATTAAAATATCACTTTATTGGGGGCTCTAACAGCTCTTTTAACAATCCATATATCAACTGTATCAAGCATATTTGTACATGTTGCCGTCATTATTTTCTAAACATTTACTCTCTATTGAGCTCTTGGTATCAGCTCTTTTTTCTGCCCTCCTTTCCCCTACTCCCCAGGAACCCTATTACATATTTGGGAGCTCTTACAGAATTATAACAACCCATAATTCAGTTAGATCATGCATAAATTTACAATAGCTACCACCATCAGTTTCTTCTTGAACTCTTGGATATCAGCTCCCCTTTATCCCCTCCCTCTTCTCCCCTACTCCTCAGGCACGCTTATTATTATATCACACATATATAATTTTTTGTGTGCCGTATCTTACACCATCCAATGTATCCATTCACCTGCAATTGTTATTTGTTCCCTTTGAGTGGGGTTATTACAGTCACCATTGCTGTCAGTTCCATCTCCCCACCCGCTTCCTGTACCCCTGAAACTATTTCTTAAGAGTTATCTATTTTGGCTTTCATCCATCACTCTTAGTTATACAAATGAACAGACCCAGGTCTAACAAGATTAATGAGGTAAAACAAAGACCATAATAGTAAGAGGAAGAAATA